CATTTATGTAGACATTGTAAATAAATTTTGTGCAAAAAGGACTGGAAAAATGAACTGTTTTTTTGCAATTTTTTTTTTTTTTTTTTTGGTAAAAGTAGCAGTTTGGTATGAGTTGGCATGCATACAAGATTTACTAAGTGGGATAAGCTAATTATACTTTTTGTTGTGGATAAACAAATGCTTGTTGATAGCCTTTTTCTATCAAGAAACCAAGGAGCTAATTATTAATAACAATCATTGCACACTGAGTCTTAGCGTTTCTGATGGAAACAGTCTGGATTGTATAATAACGCCAAGCCCAGTTGTAGTTGTTTGAGTGCAGTAATGAAATCTGAATCTAAAATAAAAACAAGATTATTTTTGTCATGCTGACTCCACTGCTTGAAAAATTTGTTTACTGCCCCCCAAATTTTTAATGATTAATGCAGTAAATATAATAATTAATTTTAGCCCCCTAAGTTATATGTGTACTTGGAAATTTTAACCTCAAAGTAAATTATTTAATAATAACCAGTGATTTCTGTAAACTGACTCAATAAACTTCTAATTTCAGCAAATTTAAGGCCTAAAGGCACTAAACTAACTGTGGACTCAGATTACATCCAACAGAATTATTCATCTAATATCTGTGATATTATTCTTGCTTGTGATCATGAACCTAAGTACAGAGCTCATTCAGCCTTTTATTGAGGAAGCAACCTAGGATGAGCAGTATATGTTTATTAGGGAATTAACTATGTGAATTGAAGAGACCAGACTTCAAAATCTAATTTTTATAAATATGCTCTATGTTCTCATTGGATAAAACTGGTTATTAACCAATTTTCCAGAACAGCTGTACAGAATTTCTGCATGGCAGCCAGCTAAATGGTACAAAATAACATGTTTAAGCTGGAATAGCTTATAATTTTATTTAAATAAAATTGCTGCTATAAAAAGTGCTTCCCAAAGCTAAGGGAAATATACAAATATTTTAATTAAGGCAAATTCGTTTTAAAAAATAAGCCTTTTAGCTGTGATTGCTTTGTAAACAAAGGACCGGTCCTTGGAACAGAGCGCCTAAAACTAAAGTCTGACATTCAGGCCTATGTCACCCTATAAAACCGCCCTCTGCAATTCTATTTTCTATTTGAAAAGAGAAACCAGCTGCGGGCTGGCTTTACTAGGTGCTGTGTGACAGACCGGTTCACCTGCTGGAGCTGCAGCACGCACCTCTCACCTTTTGTTTATGGGGCCTTGTTTCTAAACACGTTGAGTGCGCTGAGAGAGGCAGGCTGAACCTATTGCAGCCGAGCAGGCCTTGCGCCACCGCCCCACCCCCACCCATCTATGGGCTTAAATTTCTCATTTTGATCCAGCGACAATTCTTTCACTACATAAATGGTCCGTATTAGTGGAATCAGTCTCTTTTGATAGGTGGTTACTAGCAGTTAACAACCGTTTATTTACTTTTAAAATTAATAATAAACTTTAAAAAGTAACCGTCCATCTATCCCTCCTCCCTCGTAGGGTTGGCTGAGTTGCTTATTTTGTCTTTATTTTTTATTTTTTTTATTGAGTTTATTGGATTTTGTCTTTATTTGTCTTTATTTTTGTGGAGGAGCTTTCGGAGTGGGGAAAGAGAAAGGGCCAAGGGGGAAGAGAGAGACAGACAGACTGACTCACTCCTGGGGAGGCAGGGGAGAGGGAAGAGGAGTTAGGGAATAGGGAGATGATGAAGAACCATGACCTAGTGTCCAGGAACTGTGAAAAATAAAAAATAAACCAAACTGTTGCTTCCGCGCCCCACCCCAGCCTTCCTCTTCGTAGTTCCTTTCTCCCTCCTGACACCTTGCCCTCTTAATGCTATTTTAGCTTTTCCTCTTGGAAATTTCAGAGCCAGCTCTGAGGTTACTGAGGACACTTATCCGAAGGAAGGAGGGAAATAAGTGTGGAGAGTGTTTCTGATGTTTCTTGAAAAGCAAAACCGAACGTCTTCCTCTAAGCAAGGGCACACAATTGTACCTGCTTTTTATGGGGGGGCACTGGCTGAACTAGACTACTTTTCAGTAAGCTTTAAATATTTCTTTAAAAAATTAAAAATATTTTACCCGATCATATTTAATCAGCTGTAGTTATAACACATTCAAAATGAATAATATGCCTCGACAGTATTTTTATTGTTATTGTTCATTGCATGATGTTCGACTGCTTTAGAAGCACAGGAAAGAGAAGTAAACGCGCTACAAATGGGGAATTACCCTCGTTTAGCATTAAAATTCATTTAGATAAAATTGCCACAAACATTTAAATGGGAAGATTAGTTCCCCCTCACGCCTTATTGCACTCGCTCAATGGTTCCGTTAAGAACATTTTACACGTTGGAAATTCCGTCTTCTCAGACGGCTTGCTGTTTCCTAGTTACCCACATTCAAAGCGAGGCAGCGGCAAAGGCAGCCGCAGCCGCAGAAGCAGCAGGGGAAAAAAAAAAAAGTTTTGGCAACTGGTCTGCAATTCATCCGCTGCTCCCCCGAGTCTCCCCTCCGCCCTGGACGGCCAGCCCCCCACCCTCACCCCTTCCTCAGCGCTACCCCTTGCCCCCATTATGTAATTTGCAGAGCCCTGACCTCAAACAATCAAGTTGCTTAGTTGTGAGCTTTTGTAGATAATGTTAAAATACAAAGAAATATCAAGAAGCCAGTAGGGTCCTTTCTGAATCTCCCTCTCCCGCTTCTGTTCAGAATTAAGGGTTTAGCTCTACGGTGCTGAGTTTCTCTCATCTCCTACCCTGAGGCCACAAAAGCACGTTTTTCGGCTTTCTTTTCGGCCAGAACTTTTCCAGGAAATTCACCACTGCTTCTTGCTTGTACTGTATTAGAAACGTGTTAAAGAATTAGTTTGAAAAGTCCACGCGGCGTTTAGTTTCTCCCGTCGCCTTTCTGCCCCTCCCCCCTCGCCCTCCACCCCTCCCCCTCCGCTCCCTCCCTTCTCAGAGCCGCTGGAAAAAAGAGGAAAGTCGGCTTCCACTGCCACCTTTTGGGGATTTGGAAAAATGACTCTGTAGGAAACGGAGGGAGGCGGAGGCGCGGGGAGGTGTGTGTGTGGGGGAAACCCCCTTATTACCCTGTGTCGGAACTGGCTCCTTTAATCTGATGCTTAAATATTTGATGTGGAAAAATTACCCATAAAATTAGTTACTAACAATTTCAAATTGAAATCACTTATCGAATTATAAACGCATTAAAGCTGTATGGATGGTATTAGGAGTTCCTCAGGAGGCAGTGGTGTCTCCTTCCAGC